CTCTCTCTTTGATGTTTCTCTCTATTCCTTTCCCTTCCTCTCTGAAATCAATCATATTTTTAAAAAATCAAATGCTAACATTAATTTGTAATAAAAAGACTAACATTTAAAAAGGTATACGCACACTTTGTAATCTCCAGGAGAACAGTCCCTGTAGTTAGAGACCCCTCCTTATCCTAAAGACACTCCCCTGCCACAGTAACCAGCAAGCTGCCCAGCCCAGGCCTGCCTGCTCTCGAAGGACGGGCCTTACACAGTGTCCTCCGACTTTAGATTTGGGAAGAGGAAAGCCTCTGCCAGGCTTGTTCTCGGTGGCCCAGGAACTGTGAGCCCAGAGCCCACCTTAATGTGGCTATTGCTGAAGGTATCCCCTGCTCCACTATATCAGATATGTTGGCAACTTGACTCTTAGCTGCCCAATCGGGACTAAGCCCCAGGCCCCCCCACATCCTGGCTTCCTCTCCTCATCAGACCCTCCCAGTGTCTGCATGAATTCACCACACACTTCAGCTGCTGCCGCCTCCTGACTGGGCTCATCTGCATGGCCCTCTAGTTACTGGTGTTTGGGCTCATTTACCGCACTTAGAAAATAAAATAGTTCTCACCTGCCTCCAAAAAAACTGTATATGTGGCTTTTAACTGGCCTTTAAGCTTCCCCAGAGGAGGGGGGAAAACAAAATCTTGCCTTTCAAAGCAGCTTTGCTAAGTGATAATATCATTAAGAATATTGTAGGCATGTTACTCTGACAATCGGAAAGCCTAATAAACCGGCTGTGGAATTGGAGTGATCACACTGCTGCCCTGTCACGTCGAACAACATTGGTAAGTTTGGTTAATGTAAGAAACAAACGTCAATGGACAGAGACCCCAAGTGCAGGCTGCTGGACAGGCGCTGAATGGTACTATTCTGAACACGGTTACTTAAGCACCAGAAATGTGGTAGTGACCTCTGGCCAGAACTGCCTGGTTCTCTGTCCTTAGCAGGAATCTTGCCCCTTTTCTGACTCATCTTTACGGGCCCCCCCCGCAGGGACGAAATTTGCCACCTTATTTGGGCTGAGACATAACCGCTGTCAGCCTGTCCCTGGCATTCCTGCTGTTCCAGGCCAAGCTTGCCAGAGAGTCTGGTGGGCAAGCTGCCTCTTGGGAATGATACGTCATTGTTTTAAGACCACGCACTGCCAGGAATAGATGAACCGAGGAGTGACAACGGGCATTGACTAAAATCACGGACAAATCCCCAAAATGATTGTCCACTAGAAAAGTCTGGAGGATTCAGTGCGAATCCTGGATCATTAGTTATGCCCAAGGGCATTCACCCTGTTTCTGAAGAGGCTTATAAAAAATGTCCCTCAGTCATCAAGAAAGGGCTACACTATATGTCATATAACTGGGTTAGTAAGTCAGGAGGAGCAGACATATATCTGAAAAAGATTTCCACCAAAATGGAAATGGAAATTGTTAATTCCCACTCTAGCTGGTTTGACTGGATAGTGTTGGCCTTCAGACTGAAGGGTCCCAGGTTTGATCTGAAGGAGGCAGCCGAGCAATGATTCTCTCATCACTGATGTTTCTACCTCTCCCTCTCTCTTTCTCTATTAAACACACACACACACACACACACACACACACACACACACACAAAAAAAAAAAAAAAAAACACACACAAAACAACAAACCCCAAACAAAGAAAGACAAAATGGTTAATTTCCTCAAAAGAGTTAAAGACTTTAGGGAATGCTCTATATCTGATTCAGTGCTGCTGCTGGATAAGCGGGTGATGAAGTGTCAGCCCACCCAGGATGGCTGTGGTGAGAACCATGTACTGGGCTTGGAGGGTCTGCAAAGCTCTCAGTTGCTATACTGAGACAGCCATCTCTGTGCAGGCCATGGAGGAGATAATGAAGAGCCAACCGCTGACCCTAAGCACTCCACACCAGCACGTCCCAACTTAGAGCTCCCCCTGGGACAGGTGTAGCACCCAGACTGCTGAGCCTCACGCCCTGGGCCTCCCAGTGATGCTGGTGACGGCCCTGGCCACATGTGTCTACACCATCGTGTGCCCTCCCCTGGGACGTGCCGCTTCTCCGGAGGGCTGTTCAGCCTCTGCTCTGCTCTGGCACTCACCAGCATGCTCCAGTTCTGGAGAACAGCTCGAGAACAGTAGCCACCACTGAAGATGCATTAATACCCACAAGACAGATTGCAGCCACCATCACACACCTGGAACCTGGTTTGGAGAACGAGATCGCGTATTAGTTAAACCCAGTAACAGTGCAGTAGTTTCCACCACAGCCTGGCCTGCTGCTAGGGTTCCCTGAGCCTTTAAGCCGAGCCTATTCTGAGGGCAATAAGCTGAGAGTCTAAGGCGATGGCCGGCAAACTCATGCGTCAACAGAGTCAAATATCAACAGTACAATGATTGAAATTTCTTTTGAGAGCCAAAAATTTTAAACTTCTAATGCCACTTCTTCAAAGTAGACTCTCCCAGGCCGAGCCGCATGTGGCTTGCAAACCGCAGTCTGCCAACCATGAGCCTAACACAAAGGGCCCAAAGGCCTCTGCCATTGAGCTGACCACAGTGCTGCCTGAGCATGAACTTGTATCTGCGGCTTGAAAAGCCACAGCCAGGACAGCCAGCTTAGGGTGTGGAGCAGGGGGAGGGAAGACCTTCAGGGAGGGAAAGCATCTGGGGAAAGTGCTTCGGGCGATGTTCTCGTGTAAATCACCTGGAGGGAGGGACACCAGGGGTTGCCTCTCCCGTGGCTGATCCCCAGGACTGCCCGGACCCCTGCTGAGGAAGGCACAGGACCTGAGGGCCCCCCAAAGAAGGTCTGAAACCTCTCCAGCGCCAGGGCCTTCAGACCAGTTACCACCTTGGTCAGGCCGAGGCCACAATCATTTCCCCCGGAAAGCCCCGTGGTGACCAACTTCACTCCCAGCGCCTCCCGGGAAACAGGACCCAGGAAGCATTTGTGACCACATCCTCCTGTTCCCTGGGGTCTGAGGATTTTGAAATAAGGTGCAGAGATGCAGCAAACAATAAATGATTGATCCTCTTCCTGCAGGCATGGCTCTGAGCCAGCTGGCTTCCAGGAGACCCAGTGGCCCCTTTCCCCACCAGTTCTCCCATCAGCCCGGTCAGCCCGCTCCCTCCGCAGACAGGCTGTGTGTGGGTGCGGCTCTGTGCACAGGGACCCTCAGTTCCCCGGCGGGTCTCAGGGCCTCCCACACAGGAAGCCGGCCTTTCAGAGGGAGACCCCGTGGCACTCGAGGTCCAACTGAACCCCCCTCTGGGATTCTGGGTCAGGCTGAAGAATGTGTCAGAATTGAGAAAAAATGTTTTCCCCCAGAATTTCACTATAAAAATAAACTGCGTTGATGTGATTCTAGTTTCCGAGTAAAAGTAGGGATATTTCAGGACAGGAAAAGGCCATCCCTGCAAACAAAACTCACCAGCTTACCTATCTGCGCTCACCCTTTCCTAACCTGCCGAGAGCACCGGAGGGAGGGGGGCGAGGAGGGAGCACCCAAGCAGCAGCAGACCTGGGGGTCTCCATGGCAGCCTGACCGAGGCTGCGTTGGTAGGATGCCTGCCTTTAAGAAAGGCTGCAGGTTCCTCAGTGTCACTTGGGACTGTGAAGTCACCTCGCTGCTCTGTCCACTCCCCGGTGCTCAGCTGGCAGGCAGAGAGAAGGCACAGAGTCTGCTCCACAGAGATCCCGGGAGGTGACCCGGAGGGAAGCCTGAGTGTGTTCGTGTTTAACACACAGCGAGCACAGGGCCTTTGGACTGTCCACTGCCAGCCCCTGGGACAGACAGAGGAAGTGCGTGTCGGGGCAGAGGCTCCCGTGGGTGGCCCCGACCGTGACTGCTCTCCAGCAGCTGCATTGAGTCCAGGACGTAACACATGGCTGCTCCCTTTGAACCTTCTCCAGGGACCAGGCCGGCAGCTCTCCTGGTGCAAATCACACATGCTCAGGGGTCTCCCAGCCCGACTCACAGGAAATAGGAATGGGCAGAAGTGGGGATCCAGCTCTGCCTGCATTAGGCTGTCCTAACAGTCCTGGCCTGAGATAAGCTCAGTAAGTGCCCGTGTGCTTAGCAGGCGGCGTGGAGGACTGGGCCGTGGCTGGAAGGGCACCACCACAGGGACTAGTGAGGGCAGGCTCTCAGACCTGCTCGTACTCGGTAGCTCACAGACCCTGAGGCTCAGGGATGGGACAGGGGAGAAACCTCAGGGAGGGGCTGAGCAGGCAGGGTGAGCCGCACAGGCCGCCCAGTTCTCTGCCAGCACTCCCCTCACCTACGCCTGCTGGATCTCAGCCGTTTACTTAGATTTAGCTAAGGGAGGTCAGAAGGAAGACACGTGAAGTGAAATCATTCTCTAAACTCGAATCACGTGAGGCATGTTCTGAACACAGAGCCCAGGCAAGTCTGGGGAAACGGGGTCTCCGTACGTAGGGTGTCGGGCTGCCCTGACTCCTCTGTCCCCTGTGAAATGAAGTGCCTGCCAGCCCATCACGGGTACCCTCTCACTTGCTGTGCTCTTCTGTTACTGTCCATCTCCTCCATGAGAGAAAGGGTTCTGTCTGCGTCTCTTCACTGTCCCCAGCACCCAGCGCAGACCCTCACACGCTACAGGCGTTCACTGCATGTTGACTGTGCTCAAGAGCTGGAGTGTGGTGTGGAGGCCGTGGTTAACAGAGGGGCATGGCCAGTGACTGAATGCCACTGTGGTTTCCGGGCACCCTGTCCCGTGAGAGCATGGTGCCTGGGTCCCGTCCAGGGAGGAGGCAGGTGACTGGTGCCACAACAGCCGCCTGGGTCAGTGAAGACCCAGGACTGTTCCTGCCGTGACTTCCAGCACCTGGGACTCCCCTGATGTCGGCTCCATCCCTGGGCTCTCACGCTCACAGAGATAAGGCCATCCCGCCCCAGAAGAAAATAAGGAATAAACATGTCCCAGCAATCGCTGAAGGCAGGTACTCACGCGGTATTCAGCAGAACTGACGGGACTTCCAGCCCTGAGAAGTAGCCTCGGAGGGAGGGAGCCAGCGCATCTGGAGAGAGATTGGGAGAAGGCCATAAACCAGGGCGCCCAGCAGCTTAGCGTGTCCTGCTGAGCTCCACCCCGCTCTGTTCCACAGGAGGTGCCTGCTCACACATGCCCCTGTGAATGCAGAGGCCAGGCTGCAGGGAAACTCCCGCCTCCAGGAGTAAGAGGGTGCTGGCCCAGTGAGCCCCCTCCCGCACTCAGCAGCGCCCGGGCTGCAGGACAGGCTGCTAACGGTTCCGTCAGAGCATGCGGATCTGCTCTGACGAGGAGGGGACAGGTCAGGCCACCATCAAGCCCGTGGCCTGGCCAGGCCTGCAGCTTCTGTTCCTGTGCTTTTAGAAAAGGGGTCTGGCTCCTTGGCGCTGCGGGGTGTCTGGCACCCTGTGCCCTCTGCTCAGAGGGACCTGTGGCCCCGATTCCATTAGGTTTCCAAAGAGGAAGGCCAGACCTGAACAAGAGGACCGAGGAAGGCTTTGTCCACCTGGCAGGATGCTCCCAGTCCTGCACCGAGGAAAATGTTAAAACAACAAACCAAAGGGCAAGAGTGCTGGGGCAGTAAAACGTCCATCTATCGGCCATGTCAGCTTTGTTCCTGAGCCTTTGGACAGAGGGAAGAGGGTCCGTTTGCATTGAGAAGGGACGCCTTCCTTCCACTTGGTGAGCAGTGGCAGGCCCTGCAAGGGGGAAGAGGTGGCAGAGCCAAGTGTAACGCGGGAGGGTGGGGGGGAGGGCAAGAAGGAGGCTGGGTGCCCCTTGGAGGTGACACCCTCCAATGTTACCTGGGTCTGGCCCCAACAGTTTCTCCTGGAAACGTTTCCAGAGTATAACGTGATGCCGGGAAGAATGTAACCCTGACAGGTCTACTCCAGTGGTGCATTCTGCACCAGAAACCCTTCTTTCCCTGGCAGCTGATCTCCACGCCACGGGCAGGTGCAGCAGCACTGGCTGCCCCGGGCACTGGGGGCCGAGGCCTCAGACCTCCTGCCTCGTCTTCCCCGCGTCTGCAGGAAAACCAGCCGAGTCCTGGGTGTTCTCCACGGGCCCAGTGGGCCCAGGCTCACCAGCTCTCCCGATGTCATTCGGAAGCTGGCTGGCTCAGAATGGGTCCTAGCAAAGCCCGCAACGGTACCCCCACCTTCTGCCTGGTCCCCACAGAGTCCTTGGTGTTTCCTTCCACTCCCACCACGGGCCTCCCCCCCGAGCGGTTACTTCCTGCCTGGCTGGCAGTGCTGCACTCGGGGACCCTCTCCCGGCCCGGGGCAGAGGCCTCTGGTCTCGCTGGGGAACTGGCCTGAAAACACGGTGGATGCATTTTCAGCTCTGCCTGCGCCTTGGGGAGCCGCTCGGGCCACCTGTGCTTAGAGATCCTCTGAGGGACCACGGCACATGGACTAGAGATCAGGTGAGCAGTTGGACTGGGACCCCGGGGGCCCCATATTGTGAGGGGGCAGAGACCCATTCCTCAGGAGCCACCAGCAGGCAGGGCCAGCGTCATTTCAACCCGCAGAGCGATTCAGGGAATGACGGACCAGACACTGCATGTAGGTAGGCTACAACACAGGTCATTTCGGGGAATTTAGGGGAGTATACACAGCAAAGGAGGGAAACAAAGAAGGGCCACGTGGGAGGCAGGAGGACCAGAAGGGAGAGCAAGGGCAGACAACAAGGGAAGGGGAGAGGGCAGAGGGGAGAAGAGGAAGACAGAGACACAAAGAAAACACGCGTACCTACCCATGGCTTATGGCTTTGTGCCTCTGAGTCCACTTGCTCCCTAAGCAAAGGGCAGGGCTGGAGCTGCCTCCCACACAGGCGGTAAAGGGGGGGACGGGACACAGCCCTGAGGAGGCGGGTGAGGGGCTGGGAACCTAGCACAGCGGGAGGGGAGGGGTCTGTGTGCGCCGGGGCTGGGGGAGCACATGTGGCGCCTGGTGCTGCCTGGGTGTGTGCCAGGGTGCCGGCCCACGGAGACAGAGCCGCAGAGGGGAGGGCATGGCCGTTCCAGTGCAGGTGGCTGCGGGAAGGGAGCCCTCGTCTCCACGCACCCACCCCGGCCTCTCTGACAGCCTCTTCCACCCACACGGCACCGCATCCATCCTCAGACACACTGCGCCTGCTGCTGCGGGGCCAGCGCCATGTCAGCCCGGCCTGGAATCCCCGAGCCCTCCAGGGTGACCAGCAGGCAGCTCCGAGCTGCAGGTGGCCTGCTGGCCGGTTCTCGGGGGCACGTGGAGGCGAAGGAGTCAAGACAGGCCTTGAAACCCATCACTTTCGCCACAGGCTCTTCTCACCACCCAGGCCTGCTCCTCTTCCACCTTCCAGCAGAGGGCGGTGTTCCCAGGGTCGACGTCTATGTTTCAGAGGCAGCATGGCACACGGGGAGAAATTGGGTGCGTGCGGGCGGGCGGGCAGGCGAGCTGACCTAGATGACCTACATGTGCTACTCCCTGCTGTCCTCTGGGGGAAGAGAAGGTTTAACCCTTACACCACACGGGCTGCTTGTTCTGCTGTGGGTCCGGCTCTAGGATGCTCGTGGCCACTGCTGCCCGTCGCCCAGGAGCTGTAGGTGCAACCACCACCACCGGGACACCCACACGCCCCTGGCTCCTGCTCCGAGGACAGCTGAGCAGGAACAGGCCACACGGCTGACCTGCCATGCACAGCAATGGTCCGTCTGCAGACACTCCCACTCCCAATCGTGCACAGGCTTCCAGGGGCTTCCGAAGTCCCTGTACAAACCTCTAACGTAACATCTACAGCCCGGACTAGCACCAATTACTCCCCCTGTGCCAGAGACTAAGGCTGTGACATCCCTAAGTGAATAAGCAGCACCAAGGCCCTGGGACACTTCTCCACCCGAACTCGAAGCAACAGCAGTCACTGCCAGTCCAGTCCAGGAGCCACGCTGCCTGGGCTCTGCCATCACATTCCTCAGACACGCTCCTCCAGACCGGGCACAATGGGGTCTCCCACGCCTCGGCGTGTACCAGCTCCTGTGGCTGGTAAAAGGAGAGCACCCAGGAAAAACATAAAATATAACTGGGCAAAAATAAAGTGGAACGCCAGAAAAAGTAGCAAGCACCCATAAAAACAATTTCCATCCTCTTCCATTTATAGATAAGGACCACAAAGCCCAGAGGACTGAATGCATACAGATGTCACTTTCCCAATAGCGCTGCCAAGGACAGGGAGCCCCTGGCTGGCCTCCAGGGGGAGCCCCTGCCAGGCCCCCCACCCCCACCCCGCCACAGGGCTCACTGTTTGCACTCTGCTGTCCCCTCTCCGGGGACCGACTCCCTTCGTCACACGTGCCTTTAGAAATAACCACCAGAAGTGCTTCCCAGGTGCTGGGCACAGTTACGGTAGCCATTATTAATCAACACCCCGGCTCGGCCATCTTCTCCTCTGTGGCTCTCCCAGTGTGGCACGCAGACCCTCAGCATCACCCGAGAACACGTCAGCAATGCAGAAACTCTAGGGACGCGGCCCGAGCACCTGCACTTAACAAGCTCCCAGGACAACAGGGCCTGTGCTCCAGACAGACTGTTCTTGAATGAGGGGGACAGACGTGGGGCCAGAAGCCGACCAGAAGAGATGCTGTGCAAACAGGTTTGAGAAACAGTCTCCCCTCAGCAGGTCCCACACACACACACACACACGGGCACAGTAAAGGCTGGCAGTCCTCCATAAAGAAGCCAGTCTGACGTGCGCAGACCCCGGGCTCTCCAGGTTTATCATCTGACTGCAGCCTCTTTCCACTGAGTGACAGCTGCAGAGGGCGGTGAGACACGTTGGCCTGGAAGGCCCCTTCTGGTGGTGGCGTTTGGTGGATCCTAGGACACTAACTAGAGCTGGAAGGGCCCCAGCCGGCCGGCGCCTTGGACGTCCATTCTGTAAGGCGCTTCCCTTCTCCTGTACAGACGCTGTGCCCGCATGCTCACCCCCCAGCTCCCCGTTCAGAACCAGGCTCATGGAGCCCACTGCTGCAGACACTTAGCCAACTCTGCCCTCCCTTGGCGTGGGGACTGTCACTGCTGAGCATCACAAAGGAAGCCCGTCAGCCCCACAGCGAACTGGGCTCCAGGTTGTCTGTCGGGGTGAGGGAAAGGCCACCAAGCCAGATGTTTACCTACTCTGATCCAAGAAACTCGCTGATGATTTGTAATACAATAAAGATGGAACTCTTTGTGGGACTAACTGTAGGGTTCGTTCAAACAGCAACCCTCCCCATTTTTAATGCAGCCTTCACCCCACTGGAAGAACATTTGGGAATTTGTTTCAAGAAACGAGGCCCGCGGGCGATCACTCTGTAAGGGAACTTCCAGTCCCATTTCCCTCTGCCCGAGAGCGTGCAGTGCAATCAGCACTCTTCACTCCTGGGCTGGCACGTAACAGTCCTTGCCTCGGGCAATGCAACGGGCTGCCACTGTCTAGGCGTATTGTCACGTCTCACAGGAAGAGTTGGTTCCAAAGTTATCTGCCATTTTATTCCCGGCTGACGACACACAAGGCCCTGGGCTCCTGCCCACCTCCCAGTCCAAACGGTGCGATATTGCTGAGCTCCGAGCCTGGGCAGGAGCGAGATCTAGACCCCCCCTCTTCCCCCCAAAATGCGAGGCGTAGGCCTGAGCACCTGCTGAGACCAGTGAGGCTTGGCCTTAATTAAACATAAGCCCTCGGGGATGGCTTTCTCTTCTGGGCTTTTAGACTCCAACCCCGTCTGCCCTGAGCGCAAGCCAGGCTCTTACTTCCAAACAGGCATGTGAAATGCGCTCAGACGTCCCAGAAGCTCATGGAAGACGCCGCCTGGGTCGAGGCACCCAAGCATGTAACGCCCTGTGTCAGATCAAGTCCATCGTGGCTGCCTGCCATCCGTATTTAACTGTGTCGGCCTGTTAATTTTTAACCACGTTTGCGACCGAGGGCCATTAGAGGTTTTGCGGGAGCCGAGCTCGGCGAAGCGAGAACTCCGGGGAGAGTGGCTGAGGCCCCACTTTCCCGCCCTTC